CTACAAAGCAAGAAGGTGAAAAATTCATGAAGGCCCCCCACACACTACTAGCAATTTTCCTCTCAGAGAAATTACCTACTTGTAATATAGATTCATTTATTTCAAGTCCTAAAACTCTTTCCAGCCCTGAACTCTCTCACTGCCATCTGTCCACATGCTATTTCCATTTAAATGTTCCACTCACATTCAAGACGTGAAGGCTGCACACTGCTGGTGGCAGAGCATACTGGTACTATTCTTTTAGAAAGCAACTTAGCGATATATCTCAAAAGCCATGAAATAGGCTGATATTCCTTGCTATGGGAATTCTCCTTCTAGGAATCTATCGTTATGAAGTGATTCAAAATACTGTTTTAAAAAAGCCAAAGAAGGAAAAGTTCACTGCCCCCCTCAAAAGAGCCCAAATGACCAACAGTTGGGATATTATTATGTAAATTATAACTCATCATTTGCACAAAGCAGTAAGTAGCTATTAAGATGGTATTTATGAAGGCCATTTAGCACCATGAAAATTTGTATAATATTATATTTAACTTAATGGCAAGTGAAAAGAACAGGATATCAACTATATGTGAATGTTAAGCATGAAAACAGAAAACATTAGCTAGAAAAGATATCTGTACCCCCATGTTCGCTGCAGCATTATTTGCAAAAGCCAAGACATAGAAACAACCTAAGTGTCCACTGATGAATGAATGAATAAAATGTGATATACACATATGCAAACATACACACACAAACACTCACACACAGACAGTGGAGTATTATGCAGCCATTAAAAATGAAATATTGCCATTTGCAACAACACAGATGGACCTTAAAGAGGTTATGCTAAGTGAAACAAGTCAGACAGGGGAAGACAAATACTGTATGATCTCACTTAAATCCACCCCCACCTTCGCCAAAAAAAAAAAAACCCCAAAAACAAAAAACACCAAGATCATAGAGACAGAGAACAGACTGCCCAAGACAGTGGGTAGGGGGTGAGTAAAATCTGTGAAGGGGATCAAAAGATACAAACTTTCAGGTATAAGATAAATAAGTCTGGGGATGTTTTGTGTAGCATGGTGACTATAGATAATAATATTATATTTCATATGAGTGTAAACCTTAAAAGTTCTCATCATAAGAATTATAGCTCTGTATGGTGTTGGACTTATTGTGATAATCGTTCTGCAATATATACAAATATCAAATCGTTATGCTGTATGCCTGAAACCAATATAATGTTATATGTCAATTATACCTCAATTAAAAAAATTAAGTATATTAAAAAGACCTGCAGGATATTTAAAAAAAAATGGTAACACTTGTTGTTTCCAGATATGATGGGTAAAAGACACATTTTATTTTCTCTTTTTTAAATTTTTCCGTTCTCTCCATCATATGTTCATATTACTTGTGTAACTGAGAAGAAATGTCGCAGCTGATTTCGCTTCCTCTCGTCCTAAAATCTTTCCTCTCTTTCAGTCCTCATGTGCAGACAGCTCTTAAGTGCAGGAGGCCTCTCCTTCCACAGAAGAGTCTATGCATCCCACGCTGTCTGCCCGAAACAAGGCTCTCGACCACTCACGCCCCAAACGCATTTAGAAGCTTCCTCCAAAATACTCCCCGTATTTCCACAAGATTTTCTTCCTCACATGTTTTAAAACTCTTTCCCCAGACGCTTACCTTTGTTTCCCATTTTCTATCAATTTCAAACTTGTGCTCCACCGTGGCCCTCCATAGTCTCCACCAGGTAATGCGTTTTCGATTTATTGACCCACTTTTCAAATGCTCCCTTCTCCAATCCTCTACTGTGTCGAAACAGATTTACTTGCTACCTTCAAGCTGCAGCAGAGCAAGGAACACAGTATTTGTTGCAGGCGAAGTCTAGCTAGAAAGGGTTATGACACTCCTGGTTTTACTGGCCGTGAGGCAGAGACATGCGCAGTCAGCAGCGCGCTGGCAGCAGGGGCAGGGCCGGTTGAACGGACCTCGCTTCCTTGTTTTGATAGACTCACAACCTTAGATCCGGGGAAAGATCTCAGCAGGTGTCTGACAAAGTGTCTCAGAACACCCTTGTAGACAAGACTGGGAGAGGTAAGTTAGATGATAATATAATTCACTCAGTTAATCAAAAGTTAAATAAGGTGTGTAGAATCTTGGGTAAAATGGAGGCCAACCTCAAGAAAGATTCTATAGTCACAATGCAGAGCTTCCCGCCCGCGACTTCCTTGCAACTTTAACATCAAAACATAAAGTAACTAGAAGCTATTCATATTCATCTGCCAATTGAAATATCTAGGAAAGGAAGCTGATACAACGAATGGTAGAAAAAAAGACTAAGAAATCCTTGAACTCTTGAAATTTCAGGCTGATATAAAGAAGCTGAAATTAAATACAAAGATGAATCCTTTTGCCCAGGTTTATAAAACTTGCCTGCAAACTGGGTGAGACCTGGATGAAAGAGCATTCACATTTTTTTAGGGATTTCGATCTGAGCCGAAGTGTCATGTGGATGCTAAGCAGGGAAAATCATTCATTTAAGGGTGTCATGTAATTGAAACACAGAGTCTCAAGCCAGGGAAGTATTTCTGTTCCACCTGAAGTTACTGAACTGCAATTCAAGAAGCCAGTTCCATTGGGAGCTGTCATAGCCTATGAAAGCACATGACCAGAAGGAATATACTTGGAAACCAGGGTAAATGAGAAATGAGTTGAAGGAAACAAGTTTAGCGTAGAAAAGAGGTGTTTAGAAGAGTGACAAGAGAGTTGTGCTCAGACACTGTGCTCTAAAAGCTCTCTGTTGGGCCGGGTCCAGCGAGAGCGAATGACTGGACTGTTGATTTCAGCTCAGAATAGGAAAGCGTTTCCTAACGGTAGACTCGCCCACAACCACAGCATGCGTGGGCCGTGCACAGATGGTGGCACTGGAAGATGACCTGCCAAGTGGACGGAGGGTTTCACAAGTATATTACAGACTGACCAACATTTGCAAACATTGCCTTCATATACTCAGGGTGTCTGAAATTCTGGAAAGCTGTTATATAAGGTTGTGCCACCAAGAAATAAATTCATTTGATACTGAAGGATGTGAAGCTAGCTGGGTTTTTCTCTGACAGTCTCTCTGTGCCTTTCTTGTGCATTGGAAGCATTCTTTTATTAAAGAATTCAAAATGTTGAAAGTCAAAAGGGAAAGCGATCCTGGATTATGCCCAACAGCTGCATTCTCTCTCTGTGGTTAAAATCAATGCCCAAAGGGGCAGAAGAAAGAACCTTTCCATCTTGCAATTACATTCTTAGATTTCATAGCATTTTCCATTAAAATATAGAGTTGGAAAGACTGGCAAAATTTGTGACCTTTGTATGTAGGAAAAGGTCACAGTCGTAGTCATCATTTGTTTTTCTTAAAAAGCGTTCATAACTTTGACTATGTGGCATGCAATAACTTTACATCCATTTGCCATTGTGTTTCTCAAAAATTAAATTTATCATGTCATTGACTTTAAATAAGGCATCTGATACATCTTAAACTGGACAAAAGTATACATGTGGCCCTTTTGAATCACACAGACTATATGTTTTATGGACATATATGTCTATAAAATTTGTTAATAGCAATAGAATGGACTACATAATAAGTTTCAATCATCAAACATCTCCAACATTTAAAAAGAGTAACTTTTCATGAACTTGAAGTTCATCAATTTACAAAAGGAATACAATTTTAAACTTTCGGATTTTTATTAGGGTAAATTGCTGAACTGAATCTTGGAAAATGGGAAGGATTTAGAATGAGAGAAAGAAAAGGCAGCATTACAGGAAGGCGGAACGGTGTGAATGTCCGCAGAGAGCTCCCCCAAAGCAATGCGCTGTGTCAACACTGGTGTTGGGTAAGTGACATTGTCAATTACCTTCAGGCTAATTTTCATCAAGAAGAGCAATTAAATGCTTATTATCTGTCCCAGCAAGTTGTGAAAAAAAGACATGATTGGGAACTCTTTTTGTTTGTTTGTTTGGAAGTCTAACTTTCTTTTTTCTTTTTTTCAATTGAAGTATAGTCAGTTACAATGTGTCAATTTCTGGTGTACAGCGTAATGTTCCCGTCATGCATATATACATACATATATATATATACATATATATATATATACACACACACAAATATACACACACATATACATACATATATAACTTTTTTTTAATTTATGGATTTTTTTTAAATTTTGATTTTGGCAGGGGGGGTAGGCATATATAAAACTCTTAATGCAATTCTGTATTTATTTATTTCCTTACTTATATCTTATTGTTCTAGAGAGAAACTGAGGCAGCTTTCAAAAATACAGAACATAGATGGGGGGAGGGTATAGCTCAGTGGTAGAGCATGTGCTTAGCATGCATGAGGTCCTGGATTCAATCCCCAGCACCTCCATTAAAAGTAAATAAATAAACCTAATTATCTCCCCTCCAGAAAAAAAAATACAGAACATAATATGGAATAAAATCATTAATGAAGGAAAATTAATCACTCAGGAGGGAAAGCAGCACACACAGAAAAAGACTATCTTGTCCGGGTGGTTTTTAGTCGGAGGTGGGGCCAAGGGGGATGGAACTGAGTTGACTTTTTTTTTTAGCATTTGTAAGACTTTTCAATGCATTAGGTTAAAATGAAGCAAAAAAAAAAAAGTGTTATTCAGGAGAAGGCTTGCCGTTTTAACACCGAGACATGAGAAAAATTTCTCCCTTGAGTCCTCCTACAGAAGCCACTGAAGGATGCAGTAGGTCCTGGCCTCACCCCTCCCCTGACCCTGTGGTCAGAAGGAGTAATTTCCCAGAGCTGTTCCTCACGCTGTCCCTCAGCGTCGGACAAGGACATCACACAGAGGCACAGTTCCGTTACGGAACAGCGTGGCTCACACGCCCAGCCCTACTTTAAACATAAGAGTGAAATCTAGGACAGGTACTGGATTGGAGGGACTACACGTTCTTCAGGTCATAGTGATTCACTTATTCACTCTATACTTCAATCAACATAAATAAATAAATTGGAATCATAAAGAGAAGATTAGCCTGGCCCCTGCACAAGGATGACATGCAAATTTGTGAAGCATTCCATATTTTTAAACAATATAAGTGTCCTTAAGCAGAAGAGTAGATAAAGATGTGCTATACACACACACACACACACACACACACACACACACACACACACACACAAAGATATTACTTACACACGACTAAATAAAGTAGTAATCTCTCTTATTCGAACCAAAACTAAAGTTAGGGTTGGGGGTTACGGTAC